CCTTTTACCCGTTGGGGCCAGGTCATCATGTCTGCCAAGGGCTTGGTGCCGGGGCGCCATGGACACGTGTGTGATGACTGATGTGGGTGACAAGGCTCAATCGTATGTGTTTCGCCAGGTCGCTGGTAGGTGCGGAGTCATCCATAGCAGCCGCTTGCTGGGGCGCATTGTCGGGAATGTGCACACGCCGACGACGTCGACGGCTATTATGCACATCGTCGCCGTCGTCGTCCTCGCTGTCCTCCGATAATAGATCCGGATCGATGACCACCCTCGAGTCCACCATTAAGTTATGCAGAATGCATATAGCCATGAATTCCTTCACCAATGTCTTCATGTTCACGATTTGCCGCTTGATGAAGTGCCTCCACCCGCTTTCAACCGCCCAAATGTCCTCTCGATGCACGACCTGGCAGAGGTGTGACAACCGTCATACACCACCTGCTCAGGAGTCCTTGGACCGCGCCAGCCCGCGGTCATGGTCCAAGGCAGCAGTGGACAGCCTGCGTCGCCTAGAAGATACCGACCAACGCTCCGCCCGTCGCACAGAACAACTGACCCGCTCCCGAATACCCCCCTGCCCTCTTGAGCGATCTGGTACAAACGGGATATGCGAACGACTCGCGAATCATGGACAGACCCAGGGCATCCAACGTAAACGCTAGAGATAACCTCCTTCCAGTCGGGAAGGATATGGTCTGCCCGTACTCCTTGAGGAGCGCATCCGCCACGTCCTCGTTGCTTCGCAAGGCACTGCAGAGACCCAACCCCAATCCATGCGTCGTCTGCCTGTAGTAGCCCCCTGTCGCCCACCTCATGAGAGCACACGCGAACTTCTGCCCTGCCGGAATTGGCTGCCTCCAGTTCGTGCTCTGCCTTTGGATATGGGGAGGGAGTCTGCAAAACCGCCGGAAGACTCGCTCATGATGTGACCCCACCCTCTGCAGATCCTTCCACAACCCCCCGCTGCGTTCTAGCACCCAAAGTCTCTTCCTCGTCTCCATATTGTCGCCAATGGATTGTATGGCGCAGCTCATGAGCGACAGGCTATGCATCACAGAGCCAGCGAGAACCAGCATAGCGTCCGGCACCGTTGCACCACACATCGGGAGTGCTGCTGCAGCATGGAGGACAGCCATAGCTGCGGCGTTCCTGCGGTTCACCCACGGGACGATAATGAAAACCAGGGTGAGCATGCAATCCCAGTCGGCTTCTGTCAGAATCGGAGATGAGGGTTCCATGATGTTCGTGAAAGGTAGATCCGCGGTGCCAAAAAAAAAAAAAAATAAAAAAAAAATATATATATATATATATATATATATCGATTAATCACGTCTCCCAACGGCACGTCTTCTCCTGATGTCAGCTATGGCGTCGTCAGCACCGCCACGCACAAACCAAACGACCTCCACCCCCGCCAGACGCACCGTGCACAGAATGTCCGCACGCAACCCGAATGGAGAAGAAGCGGCAATGTTTTAAAAA